TATTCGAAATTTTTATGTATTGTAGAGTTGCCTCTGGCAACCAATGTCTTTTATTTCATAAATAAAGTATATTTTATCGAACGTATATGAGAAATGGGTCACGTATAATGATGCAATGGCTGTGCTACATAAAAACCTATATTGACGCCCAGTAGTCTCTTTCCCGAACAGAAATAAATTCTTATCTCACTCCGGAACGTAACACTATTTTTTTATCCGAGCCCAATATCCCTATAAAAATGTAACACTATGTCTGAAACTAGTACACCTTATACACCAGCTTCCACCTCCACTACTGTTGCTAGAAATGAGACGGATACGGTGGATATGATGAATATGGTGGTCGCGATAGAGGCTATTATTATCGTGATGGAAGATATGAAAGGAAGTTCTCACCAATGATGAGTCCTATTATCTCTCCAGTAACCGCCTAGAAAAATTATTGGGCGAATCAATTACTCGCATTGACTGAATTATGCGAATTCGTATATTTCTTTTTTTCGAATCATGTGGGTGGCTTAGCCGAGCATATATCATGCGCAATAAACGTCATTAATTTTTATCACATGATTAGCTGGTAGATTCTGATACTATTGGCTGAAAGTGAGAAGAGTCTTCACGATTATCATATGACACGGCATGTATCGCGGTATGTACTTCTGTATTATATTTTCACATGTATTAATTTTCCTTTTTTTATTTATAATCAGCCGGACATACCTATCTGCTGGTATGAAGCCTGTCCGCATTCAAAAACGATAAGGCTCATCTATCACATGATGTAAATCTCACTTAGGTATTTAAGTGTATGAAAAAAAAAACTTGGTATTTTGGATCCCAGGATGGATACCATAAGAAAAACCTTAAGACTTATTTATACGCAAGTTTCTCTATTTTTCGCTAGCGAAATAGAGCATTCAGAGTCTGAAATGATGTGTACTATCTGCTTGGACGAATTTAATCAAACACAAGCATATACGAAGTTTGCTTGTGGCCATGCTTTCCACTTCGAATGTGTGATAGAATACATAATTCACGGAATCACGAATACACATGAAATTTTTTTACGTAGGATGTCTGTCCTAATTGTCGAGCAATCATACATGAAGTACCGCCTAGGGAATTTATTGGACTTTCGAATAGAAGCGGAAACCTGCATCCTGGCGGAGGGTCGTATAATGTTGTTCCTCAACCTGAAGTCTTCCCGAATATTCCTAGATCGTTTCGTACATTCAATACAGCACCATACAACATTAGGCGAATAAATCTGTCACGACCTATCAATTTTAGCTGATGTGACATACTCAGATACTCACTCCAAACCACCTGCAGATAGTAATAATAACACCGAAGAAGCTAGTCCTGCTTCAGAGTTGCGAGAGTATTCAGAGCCTCTGAAATAATTATGACTTCATAAGCATTTTCAATTTTATATTTTGTGCACAAATATGTATTGAAACATTGCATTCTATTTTTATTAATCTGACCAGTTAACTTTTGTAAGAGTCAAAAAATAAAGATTATTTTTGTGAAGCGCTTGGCCCCGCATCATGGGGTATATTTTTTAAATCTGTTTCGTTATTCCATACTGTATACATAAACTGCTACATATTGTGATCAACGATATTCATTATAACCTGCTTCCATAATGAATATCCCTCTGGATGCGTCTATATTTGGTAATTAATATTTTCACATAGTGGGTTTTTGTTAATTGCTCCCATGTTTCAAATTTGTGGATCTCGGGGTGATCATGTTGATTACGGATGTTTATCCCGTATGAATTGAAAGATGCAGGGAACAAGACGGGTTAAAGTATGGTTCAAGAACTTCTAATGAATGTTACATGACATTCACACGTAGGGTTGCTATTAAAAACATAGTAAAATTCGATGTAGGGTTAAAGTAGGGTTGATCTCGGTTTGATGTGTGGGGAAACAACTATAAAAATGCTCATATCATGGGTTTACTTATTCGCTTGTTAATTAATAGGTCGATCCACATCTATAAAGCGTCTGGAAAAAATGTCTAACTGGACCGATGCTCAAATCCGTATTCTTATCAACGAACGCAGAAGTAGGAATGAAGAATATCATGACATGGGAAGGAATCGAGACGCATTTTGGACAAGCATAGCAACTAGAATTAATGAAGCGCATAGTACAAATTTCCAAGGATACCACTGTAAAGAAAAATTCAAGAATCTCGTTCGGGATTACAATGTAAGTATATATGTGAACGGTCCCAGAGGGACCCATCTGTTAATGGTCAATACTTAATCCCTATGCCAGAAGGAATTCATCTTTCCACTTACTTTATCCAGTCGATGTGTAATTATATGAGTGGGGTCGAACTGCTCGAAGAAGCCGAACAGGTTCTAGATACTTCGAGGAATTCCGCACGCATTTTTGGGAAAGACCCGAAGATTCATTCGATAGAATCCGTAATATGAATGTTTCAAACCGCAGACGAGGTGGAAGAAGCTCATCCCCCGCACCTTCTATTGAGGCAGTTGAACGGGTACTAGGCCAAAAATCATCTAGTCGAAGAAGTCGTACACGTTCGGAATCTCCACAACGTCCGCCTCCAGCTCCAACAGCGGAAACCGCTCAACCACCAACATATGAGGTCGCCACTGCCAATACACAACCATTGATAGAGGGTGGGAATAATACCAATCTACAAGTATCGACAGATGGTGGAAACATTGCAGAACAATGATGTTAGTTTACCTAGTCGTATTTTATTCTACTGTTCTCAATCAAATTAATAAAGGGCTTCTTTACTTTGATTTTTAAACGTGTTATGTGTTTTACAAGTGATATTAATATTTATTTACTTTCGTATTCTAATTTATTGTGTTGCACAGTTATGAAAAATACAAAATTTACTAAGCTAACATAGCTATTTACAGATTGATTTGAGTTGCAGGAAGGTTGCGAGGAAGTGCCGGGAACTGACTAGGAACTAGGGAGGATCATATGTGATACGATATACGTCGTGCCACAACCGATTTAGTCAAGGCACTATGCATATGCATGTAAATATAAAATTAGCTTAGCCCGAGAGAGGGTCTATATAAATCCCAATCTAATAAAAATGAATCTGAGTTTAGCAATATGAAGTCTTACTAAATTGGCTACGAATCAATAAAACTGCTATAAATTCATTAAAACTGCTTAACCAGCAAATCAGTATAAATTTGAAACATGCTATTCATTAGTGTAAGTTACTAAAAACGCTATAAATCAATAAATTGCTATAAATCGTTATAATTCGTAAGTGAACAAGAAATATGCCTGATACGATTATTCTAGATAAGCAGTTTAATAAGATTGTGCCTAAACCTATTAATAATCGTTCTGGATATGATATGAAATATGTTAGCGCATATATTGTAAATTACTGTTATGGTACTGACCTCAAAAAAATAATCGGAATAGAGTGGGAGTATGATACATTATCAGTTGTGAAACCAGGTCAGTCTCTAGTTGCATGGGCTGTAAGTGTTAGAATTCGATTACAAGAATTATTAGCCAATCAGAGATTTAGTGTATATCACCGACATTGTTTGTTTGCAGGATTTGGGAATGGCAAGATGGTTAATTCTGACTATCATCGACCCAGAATCAATAAGAGTAATATGGCTATTTGTTTTGATTGCTGGAAATTGGTAAAGATTACCGATATAAAACCAAAAAAGACATATTTTAGTGGATGGCGCAGATATGGATATGAGGTTAAATCCAAGGACTTGATGAAACACCATTGGGATACCGAATGTTCCAAAGCTAAAACTAAGGATGGGGGTGTACGACTTATCCAAAATGCTTATCGAAATTATAAGAGAAGGCCCGAAACTCTGGCAAAACGAGTTTGGGAAGCAGTTCGAAATGATAACACTCCTAAGGATAAAAAGTTTCTAAACATACCTAATT